CAGGTGGCAGAAAAATAGAAAAGGGAATTCAACATAAAAAGCCAGGTCTCCTCAAACAGCATGGGAATTCTACCTCACGGAGAGCAAAGCAGCCCTGTTCTGAATTTACCCGGCTCGTTGAGGTGCCTGTCCCTGGAAAAATTGTAAAACCACAGGCTATTTTCAACCATTAGCCTCTGACACCAAAAGCACTGCCCAGGGGAGGGAGGCAGAATGAATGCCAGCCAATTCTCAGCAAGGCTCTCCTGCCTATTTTGCTTGTCCAACCTCCTCCTTTACCTTCCTTCAACAGCCACCATGCCTCTCTGCCTCACTGCTTTTGGGCAGTGCCTCTACCTTGCCATGTCTTTGGATACAGTAGTGATGGGAATATCCCAAGGAGGACATGAGCTGTGGTCTTTCCTCTTTTTAAAGGGAGGGTCAAAGACTGAACCCCAGCTCTCCAGGCATGCACTTGCAGCCTCATCACAATGTACCAGACGCAATGGCTGGAATAAGATTTTGCAATAAGTGGACACTCGGCAATAGGGACAGGATAAGATCTAACCCTCTGAAAATTTAGCAGGTGAGTGGAAAGAAACAAACAAATGGGAGAGTGGTAAGTAGAGAGAAAAAGAAAAGAAGTCGAGGTATCCCAGCAACTGGCTTTTCGTAGTAACATTCTCCTTGTTAAATCTCAAGTTAATCATCAGAAATGCATGGGTGCCCTGGCCTCTTGTAGAGAGATCTATGCTGCAGCTGAAATAAGCACACTTGTAAATCTCGGGCGTTCACCTTTTCCACAGAAATATGCCCTACAGATGTATCAGATGCTGACAGACTCTGACCTATTCAGAGATACAAATATTGACGGAAAATGCTGAAAACCCACTTTTATGCCTCCACTGGAGGAAGCATTTTCAAAGCATTTCTTCCAACATGGAAGGAATCTCATCTGACCTAGTTTCCTACCCTGTTTGTTACCTCCTGGCTGTCTCATCTGAGGTTCCACCTGCTGTTTCTCCATCTGCCAGCCTTTTTTAGATCAGAGGAACCTTCTGAGTTACACATTAAATGTCAGGCAGGCTTGAGAAAAGTTGTTTATGTCTGCATTTAAACAGATGATATTTTCCATTAAAAATGCAGCATGGAGACACTAAAGGCTAAGATCTCATTTGCTTTTGGTTACTGTAACTCAAGAGCAAGTCTGCTTACATGAAAACTGATGCTGTTAGTTCAGACCTGTGTATATGCAAGCAGAATGATGATACCCTGTGAAGACCATTATTTGTGTCTTTCCCAGTAATACTGAAAGCCTCAAGCTGGGGGCCAAAAAGTATCAGATAATTTAGTCAAAGTCATTGGAAGCCTTGTGTGGACTGAAATCAAAACCCAAACCAGTATCAGGGAACCATCTATCTTCTCCCACTTACTTCCTAAGCTATTCCAGAGCAGAACACAAAGATTTAGTTTGCATTAATATATCATTAAATATCAATTACCTGAAGGAGTAATTACCTCTAAGGTTGTAATACCTAAGGGCAACTACCCCATTCAAACCCAACATTTGAGGCACGCTGTACCATGCAGTATTTGCAGTATAGTATTTTGCCAGAGTATAAGACCACAGCACTGCTGAAAAAGCCTGTTGAGGACTTCGCTGTGGGATTTTATGGTAATCTTTGTTTTTCTGCTACTTCTGCTACTCTTACATATTCTGCAGAGGAACTTTGATCATCTCATCTCTGCCATCTCTGAGTTCTACCACAGACTTAAGAGTGGCACCAGCAATCATCCACACCCACATAAGTCAACAAAAAGACTCCCTTTATTTTCAGCGAGTTAGGGATCAGAGCCCTGGAGCATCACCTCCACTGCACACCATCTATCTGACAAAAAACCTACTGTATAGCCAGTGCCTTAGGAAATTCTAGAAGCAAGGGTTTCAGCAGTTATTTTCTAGTAAAAAGCACACAGAAAACAACTGGAAACTCATCACGTCAGTACAGGCTGCCACATGTAATTTGTATGAGAAGATCAAATGTACACTGGAGCTATGGGTGTCCTAAAACACCCATGTGAAGCCAGTAGGAAACTTTGGATCAAATCTTAGAAGCATTTAAGTAGTTCTACTTGGTATATTAAGATTTTATGAATACGTGTAGGCAGCTATTCCATACCTGTCTTCTGTTGTGCTCCTGCAATAATTTCAGCCTTAAAATGGATGGCCCTGAATCTTCAAGTCTCCCAGCTCTTGGAGGCAGAGGTCTCTACTCCGAGTTTGCCGCAGCTGATTGACCTGCTGTCTGTGCTAGATGCTTCCATATGAGAATCACTGAGCCTGGACTGCCCACGCTACGAATACTGGGGTGAGTAAAATCTGTGCTTCCTGAAGAGATGCAGGCACATTACTTTTCCTCAAGTTCAGGACACTGTAATTTACCTTAACTTGCCTACAGCTGTCTCGACAGAATGAAGGAATGTCTCGGTGGTGGGAGGAGGGCATTTCTTGCCTTAACCCTCAGACAAATACAATGACTTGGAAGTCATTATACAAAAGGCAGGTAACCCAAGTATTAACACTATGATTTACAGTAACAAAAACATTATTGCAATGTGTCTAATTAGAAACCATTATAAGACCAATCAAAGCTGTCAAAACAGAACAAAAAAGCAGCATGTGTTTTTTCCCTGGAGGACTGGGATATGGTGAGACTCATTACTAACTAGTAATTTGAGGACAGAAGATTGCTTTCAGTTTGAGTTGAAATCTAGGCCCTTAAGGAAAAGAGGACTCTGAGGTATATTCCTCTCTGGCAGGCATTGCTTAAGCAAATGTTATCATGACAGTAGAAGAATTTTTTAATACCCAGGGCAGACACTTAAAAAAATCTGAATGCAGCAGTATCTGTTTAGTTCAGCTTTAGTATCCAATACAATTCTGACATTTGCAATCCGCGTGTCAGTATTCATCTCACTGCAGGAAATAAGACAAAATGGCATTCAGTTTACATGGAAAGAATGGTCAGACAGCCCTTAAGGAATCTAATTAAAATGCAGCTTGTTACCAGAGCACTGCATCACACTGTGCTGCCATAGTAACCAGGGGTCCCATGGACTTTCGGGGCCATCTGAGGGCATGTTTGCAAGAGGCACAAGAACTAAACTGATCTCTTATGGTACATTTTAAATGACCTGAAAACTCTGAATGATTTGCTGATGTTAACCTACAGAAGGAAATAATTAACTCCTACATGCTCAGACAATGGGCAAATCTCAGGAGTCAATTTATTCTTATTACTGTTTTTTACGACATACTGCTCCCCACAGCTTATTTAAGAAGTACACGACTTATTTGCAACATGTGAGCAACCAAACAGTTTAATTTGATTCCCTAATAGAGAAACAATAGAGCAATCTCTTCCTGTGGGCTGCGGAAGAGAAGACAGAGAAGATGAACAACAGAAATAAGTATTCTACTTAGGCTGCTATTTCCAGTGCTATTTCCTGAAGCATCAGGCATCTGATTGCTCTCAGTTGTTGCTTTTGGTGGATGAGTCCCTACTAGCAAGCTGGGCAGGGGTATAAAAAAAATAGAAATCACACTAGAGCACTGAGCTTTTCTTCCTGAATCCTTCTACTGCAACAGAAAGATCCTTAAACAACATTAATAATTATAAAAGCAGTATCTTACATTGTGCCCTGTCCTGATATTAATTTCCCATGGACACAATCAATAGATTTGCCACTGAGGCATTAAGATGAATTTTAACAGTAGTGATGTCCAGGTCAAGAGATTCTTTCGACACACCACCTGTGAAGAAGACTGCAAATCGTTAGTGGGTTGTTACAGATTATCATGAAAGATTTCTGCAAAAGAGCATAGGACTTTAGGCTCCATTAAGCAATTTAACTATTGATGAAAATATCCACAAGTTGTTTGAAATGATCAACGGGATTTTTAATTGCTTTGAAAAAAGAGCTTGATAGCAATTCTTCTGAAATAAATGAAATTCCTTAGAAATATGAGGTTGGGACTGGGGGATGACACGGGAAACTGAAGCACCGGTTTTCTAAGCATCGTGAAACCAGTACGTTCATGTGATTTTTGGCTCACAGTACTACACCATCAGCTCCCACTGTATACAGCTAGGATGGTTACATACCTGGAAAGATCTATTCCACATTGGGCATGCTAATACCAGGAAGGTTGCAGAAAGCCAGAAAGGAGCTCAGTTCAAGAATAAGTTGAAGAGTTCAGCCTCCAGGGTTTTGGGTCTCTTTTTGTACATACCAGTGACATGCATTATGTGGTTGTGCCTAAGTTTCCCCATTTACAAAAACAGACAATGATATTTCCTTGTTTTAAGATCCATGCCCCAGAACACTGGAAAGACTAGCTGTAAGGGAAGATCAAAATCCTACTCAGGATTAGAGAACCGTAAACAAAAAACCACTGTATCATTCAGGTTACAATATTTGATCCAAAATAACACACAATAAAACATGAGAGAAGTAAAAACATCTCACATTTAAATCTTTTTACTATATGGAAAAGTTTCCAGGCAACACAGTAACTAAAATTACTGTGTCTAAAAACAGACAGTAGACTGAACTTTTGCTAAATGGGACTTTATGCAAGACAAATTGATTGCAATTAATGCATCACTCCTCTGTATAGCCCAGCACTTTAACAACCTTGAAACAGTAATTCTTCAAAGGGCCTCATGATTTCCTAATAATCTGCTGCAGCCCAATATTAATGGCTTCATTCACTCTCAGGTTCTCCTTACAACAGAAAGTTTATTAGCACTACAAATGAATCTATTTTGTCAACAATTTACTCCAGCTGAGGTACCAGACCTGATACTCTCCTTCTTCACTGTTTTTTATATAGACTGGGCTTCTCTTTGCTGGGTTTGTGCCTCCAGTTCCTTCACAGGAAGCAACACAGCCTAAATGCTTTAACAAGGGCTTTTGGAGAGGAAAGAAGGTGTTATAAATCATCACTAACTTAGAAGTTCATTTTTAATGGGTTACATTTTATTTGCTTCAGTTGAACACCATTATTTACAGACACAAGTTAATAAAACACATCACAAAACAATAAAATTTCAACAGCTAATATTTATAGGTGCATAGTTCATGCTCAGTTACTTTTTTTATATGTATAATACATACACATATATATATATAAAGCTCTCACAATAAGTCATCTCTGCACAGAAAGAATAGTCATAGGAAACAAATAAAAATTGTATCATAAACAATATCAAATTACTGACAGCCTATCAACAAAACATGTACAGAGTTAGAAATAAGCAGTAGACACTTAGGTGTTTTTATTTAATATTTTCTTTTTCAACTTTTAAACTTGAAGCCACAATATCCACAGCACAACAATGACCCTGCCAACCAGCTTTCATTTCAGCAGGAGGGAAATGCTGAAACAAGGTGGATGCAGTCACAGATACTCCAATCATTGCTGATGGAAGACTTCAAAATACACTGTAAAAACTGTAAAAAAATTTTACGACTGGGCACATTGGAACTCAGCACTTGTACAGGATGGGACGTCTTTAGTAGTTAGTAGATTTCAGGAGATATAAAGGAAGGAAAGGACTCTCATGCTTCAGGTTCATAGTCTTGATACTCTTCCTAATGAGGAGAGCAGAAATCAGCGCTACTAGTATTTTAGATAAATACATCCTACTTTCACTGCTTGTTCTAGTCCTAGTGGATTCAATGCCAAAATATTATGGCTTTCCATGTGATCGGGATCTTGCAAGCCATTTATTATTATTTTGTTACATCTTCCGAATACTGTACCTGACAAGCTGTGGTATTTACAGAAGAATTAGGCTTTTACAGTGGTTAACACGTCATTCAGTTGATGTTGCCAGGAACTCACGAAGCCACCCATGGCAATTCACTTGGAGAGCAAGGAGGACTGCCTCTGGGCTGAACAGCACACCAGGTGCTGCAGATACTCATACCAGTCAGTAAATCATTTAAACGTGTGTTTAACTATGGGTATGTGAGCAGCCCCCAGAATTTCAGTGATATTCAAGGTGTTAGTGATCAAGTGTGACTTTAAGTCTTTTACTGGATCATGGCCTAAATGTTTTATACCTCTCATTTTCAGCCTAATTATCTGCACTACTGTAAAACTGCCACTCCAACTACCAGTGCATCATGCCAGACATTGTAGTAATATTTTAGATAGCAGGTTCATGAAAAACAAAATAATTTACTCCCATAATTGCATTAACTTTAGAGTATAATAAAGAATTATTGTGTTTTACAAAGCATGATGCTTTGATAAATGGCCAAGCTATTAAAACAATCTCTGAAGATGCTGTTTTTCCCATATTACCTATCAAACACAAGAAAAAGATACAAATTTACTGTGGATTGCTCAGAAACCCAGGCACAAGTGTTTTGAAACACACACAATACTTTCCTGTTAAACTTCTTTACTATCAAGAGAGCAATGGATTTTCTGATTCCCAGCACTACACCTCTGGGAGATCTTGGCCAAAAGGGACTGCGCTTCTGCTGTGCCCTTGCAGCTCACAGCACCAGCCTGTGCCAGGCTAATGTAACCCGAGCATGCAGCCCCCTCCTGTGCCCTCCTCCTACGTGCAGTCACAGCGAATACCACAACAGATTTACCTCTGGAGGCATTTTGTAAGCCTCATTCTCAGGATCCACAGGAACATCTGTGTTATTCACCATTCCCTCCTGCAGGAAACCTTCTTCATTCTACATTTAAAACAGGGAAAGAAAAGTGACAGACTGTAACTGCTTGCCTTGTCATTTATGCCAAAGCGTGCCTTTCCTCCCCTTCAGTGGTTGACTTCTTGGCCTGTCCTTTGGTTGCCAGGGGTTGTGAAGAGCTAGAGGACATCAGGTCCAGAGAGATCTCCGTGTTCCACAGGGGTATCCATGGGAATGAATACTGTCATCTTTCTAAATAGCTGAAGTGCTGATATCCCATTTCTCTCTTGCCACGGACAGGCCAGCAAGTCAATCTGAACAAAAGAACTGTACCGCCACCAACTTGCTGAATATCTTTGGAAAATATTTTAATCCCACAGAAAATGCTTTGGTCAAGTCATGAAGCAAACAAAACCAAGATTTTGCTCCTTAAAAAACTGATCTGGGAAACACAGTCCCACACAAATTGTTTAAGTAGGTTATCACATTAATTTCTGTTTAACTACTTGGGGGAATACAGTCACAGGTATGCACAAGTAGTTTTAAAAGCAGGCCAAAAGAATTGGGTAGTATCAAGACACACAAATGAAATAGTAATTCAAGTATATATATTTTTAACGTTAGTAATTCAATTATGTATTTTTTAATGTTATAGACACATCAATCCTCTCATAACTCATTGTTTATTTTAGAGTCTTAGCCTTTTTCCAATACATTTCAAAGCAGCCAAAAAAGGGAGAACTATTGTAACTCAGACTATTCCATGCTGTTTTTTTCCTTCAATTTTAGAACCTAATTGTATTGGGAAGAGTTTTTTTTTTCCTTTAATATGCCAACCAGCATGTTACTGTATGCAGTATTCGTCCATGATACATGGCACTACCTGATACCCAGCTTCTTACACTTTTTTCTGGGCCTCTGTTATTGACCATTATAGAATTGCTTCTATTTTACATAGCAATTTTCATAACAGCCTCTTGGAATTAATGGGATTGTAATGGTGTAAGAAATAACTTGCTGAGTAAGATTACTTAAGTTTTGTCCTAGAATCATAGCTACTATTTACCATCTGAAACAAACACAAATTATAAAGGAAAAAACCCCAAAACATTCCGATTGGGCCAATTCCTGTAGTATTTGTTACTACAGAAGTTCTCAGAGAAGAAACATGAGTTTTGCCAGAACAAAGACTGCAGGAGTTTGACCTGAACTGTAAGAAAATTGATATGAAAACAGGCAGAGTAGCTCAGTGGAACTATTGTGACCACGCTGATTTATATCAGTTGCCAATCTAGACAGAAATGCACTAAAAAACAATTACAGACACTCAGGAAGAAATTCACTTAAAAAAAACCCTGCAGGCTGGTAGCTTAGACAGAAATACAAAATTAAGTAAGTCACAAACCAGACGAATTAGGTAATTCTTCAGAGTCTGCAATTTACAGGATAGTGATGATAAATTAAATTTAGGATCTAGATAAAATGAGGATAAGAGAAGCTAAACCTGAAACTCACCTCTGCAAGTTTAACTTGAAATAGAAAATAATATGCAAAACAGGTGGCACTAAACCCTCTTTACCTTCACACAGTATTTTTCATGCTTCTGCTGTTCATTGTTTGCCACGTATCAGTTCCCTCTGTGGTTTAACCAGGTGACCTTAGTCACAATACTCTGTTCCTCACTTGCTGCATCTCTCCATGCACAAATTGTGACTTTATGTGCCAGATATGAATCCTGTTCTTCCTTGGTTCGGTCATCTTTTCTGCCACTGATGCATGTGCATCTACACGTTTTCACCCTCATCATCAAACTCTGTGATGTGCAGAATTTATACCTATAATGTGGATTCTCTCTAGCTCTTACTTCAGACTTTAAAAGGTCCAGGATGAAGATATCTGGTCCCATTGTGTCTCAGTGGAGCCAGATATGGTTTTTGCTTTAGAAGTAAACAGTATAGTCTGTGTGGAGTCAATGCCTACTATTCTGCCAAGTTCCCTCCATGCACGTGCCTGCTATCAGTTAACACCCTGCGCTACTCTATGGCATAAATAACATGGACAAATTCCAAAAGTCAAGGGACACCAATGAATAAGGTTGCCAATATCTTTATTTAGGCCTGTGTCTTCCAGAAGAACTAATAATTTTGGGTGTTCAACATGACAGGTAACTTTTCAAGCATGAAATTATCAGAAAAAAACAGGCCCAATTACAGTTCTGCCCCGGCTTACACTTGAGCTAAGATTATTTGATGTGCAATATTTAATTACCCTAGCTTCTAAACAAATTTTTAGGAGTATTTATGCCTATTTACTTTTATGAGAAGTAGCATCAATCCCTACCAGCTTTGACTGAAATAACTAAATAGTGTGTGCGCGATACAAGTTTTAAAGCTGTTACTGTGCACTTGATCTAACATATCAACTCTAAGGACCTACAGCTCTAGTCTACTGCTCTCCTGTTTAATCCAAAATATAATTTAATTTCTGCTTCCCCTATCATTAAAGAACAGCTTCAGCTAACAATTGGTACATCAAGTAAAACTGTGCCCAAAATCAGTCTTGAGGCTGCACAAGGAAGAAAGCATGCAGCTTAACGTTATCTGTAGCGGGAAAACAGATAGCAAATGAAACTGCCAGGACCATTAGTAACGATGAAGAAAAAGATTTGCCAGCCGAATTTCAAAGAAGAGCTTCAAAGCTCGTATGCTGTTTGTTTGTTAGGAACCTCTGCCATGGGTCTGGACTGTCCATCAGGATTATAGAGGCACAATGCCTAAAAAAGGGCTGAATTTATCATCTTCCCAAGTTCCTTCAGTGAGTTCAGGATGGAGATTCCTCTACAGCTTCAAATAAAACAATCAGCAGCACTAGTGAAATACAGCATCAACCACAACACCAATATTTTTTTCAAATGAAGCAAATCATAAGCCATACCAAACCATCAAAGGAAATATTTGCCTAGGAAAGGCTTATCACCTTCGTCCAGCTGCAAACAGTAACACAAACACCACCTTTCATGTTGATGTCACTGCAGTTCAGATGAGAATGACATTACTCAAGGTCACATTTGTTATGTTTAAATGTATCACATAGGTGACCACATCATTTTTAATGGTGGCTTTCTCTCCTTCTGAGGTACTGTCCCCCCAAAGTTAGGATATCACAAAAGTAAACAACCACCCCCAGTAACACAGAGCCATCTAAGGTACACCTTACATCATTATTTACCTCCTTTAAAACAAAGAAATGCAATTTTATGTTCTCATGATCAATAATTCCATATCCTAATTCAGTTATGGAAGAGGAAAAACACCCAACAGACCAATTCTTGTCTTAGTATGAAAGACATATTTTTCTCTTGAAGCTGCCACCTCTATTCTTAAACCATAGAGAAGGGCATTTCCAGAGGGAAAGTTTTTTATTAGAAGATCTGAAAAGGTAAACAAAAGCTTCTCAGGGGTGAAGTCAGTTTTTAAGTGGGGAGCATGAGCTCTTTTGCAGGGAAAACACTTTAAAAAGGGAAAATTACAACTCAACAATGAACAAGGTGTTAAAAGAATGGCAAGGTGAAGACCTCTTTTTGTCCCCTGAGGATTCCCATAAGAAAAAGCAAATGCCCACCTATATCTTGGTTTGAAGCATGGTCAGTCTGGGTAAGACTTGTATTTCCACTTCTCCAGAGAGTCTTGTGCTCTCAGACCCCCTGTTATGGAAAGCAAGCTTCTGTGGCTAGCCAGAGCAGAGCACACCACGCCACACTGCTGTTCCCAGGTACCAATAGTGGTGTCAGTTTGTGCTATCAGCACTCCTGCCTGCCTTGCCAAAGCTTCATAACTATCAGACTTGTACAGCCCAAGACCTACATGCTATCAGGCTACCTTGCAAGCCCACCCACACCTTCCCTGGGAATGAACAGCTACGGCATACGCCTCCCTCCCAAAGCATGCTGTGCTCTCATTTTGTTGAGCAACTCATGTAATTTTACAAACAAAGGGGAGACAGTGTCCCATCATTGTAAAGTGGTACATTTGCATGACCCTGGGGGCCAGTTCTGACTCAAGGAACAGGTACAAAATAACTGGTATACAAGAGTGGCAAAAATAAGATGTGAAGTAGAACTTACTTGCTGCAATGGCTCAAAAATTTTGACTCTTCTTCCTTTACTATGGGAATGAATCCTCCTAAGCTATGTGCATGACAGTGTGAAATGACCCACTTTTGCAATAAAATAGTAATCGAACTAATTAAAAAGTCTTCCTGAAGACCTGGCCCTGTTGAAATTATAGAGTATTTGCCAAAACTTCAGGCCTATTCCTTTTAACAGGAAACGTCACCAAATGGGTTTCTCTTATTTCAGTGTTTTTGGTGAAAATCACACCCCATTCTTTCCCTTCAACCTCTTTCCCACCGTATAACACTCTTGGGTGAAGGGGAGAGACTGTTTAAGATCCCGTACACATGGAACAGAGACCAAGTGATCTGCTCATGGTACCACACCTATGTCAGCACCATGTGGTGAAATGGTCACCTTCAGGAGTGTGCACTCAGCCCTCTCGGTGACGTGTCTTTGAACGCCAAGTTACTGTCATCAGAAATAAATTATTTTATCTCAAGTCATGGACCAAAGCAACGTCAAAAGGAAGTACAGTAATTTTAATTTAGCAGCTGATCTAGGCATTATAATTTACTATCTCTCTGGCTAGTAACACATTTTTTCTTTCCATTATGAATGCTGAAGGAGTCCCACAGTCATGTATATTCTCATGATTACTGGAGACTATTTCCTTCTGGAGTGATTCCATATTCTGCGATAAATAAACCAAGCTACCAAAGTGTCAGCTCTTAAAACATTTATACTGGCAAGAGGAGATCACCCTGGAAGTCACTTCCACTAATCACAGAGGTCAGAAGGCACCTCCGGAGATCATTAGTCCAACCTCCCAGCTCAGCGCAGGGTCACCTACAGCAGGTTGCTCAGGGCCATGCCTGGTTGGGTTTTGACCATCCCCACAGATGGAGACACCACAATCTCGCTGGATAACCTG